CCTCCTTACAGGGCATGGGCGTCTGAAAGCTGATGTATGGGGATTAGCTGGACTGACGGACGATTAGATGTTAGTGGTGTGATCTCCACTAGTCGGAATACCGAACAGTTAGGGTTGTTTTCGCGTGAATTATTTAAGCGGTGAGGGCGGTTAGCTGGAAATTAGGGTTAGATTTGTATGATTTGTGTGTGTATGTGATGTATGTATGGGGTCCAACCCTTGGCCACCAGTCCAGAGCCGTATGGAAGCTCAACTGGTAGTAGTCTCGGCTACGTGGTCTGACCAGAGACTTAATTCAGGTAGCTCCAACCTGCTCATGCGGACTGGCCCATCGGGGAGTATCGTGGTGGGTGTGGTTAAAACCCAAATGCGCGAAGAACTGACTTTGTCAGTTGAATGTGGAGTTGCAATTCAACCGGCTGCCGGACCCAAAGCACGGCGGAGGTTTTAGATGCGCCTCAAACCCGACCAAGGTGGTTAGTGTGTCCATTCCATACTGCCAACTGGTACTAAAAATGCATTCTGAGGGCGCAGATCAATGCATTGATTTGATCCGCTGTGCTTTTGAGTGCCGTGGAGTAAGGCTGACGTCAGCAGGTACCCACGTTAAACACACCGGACGTTGTCAACAGTGATGTGAGAGCCTAGTCGCGAGTGCGACGACTGTTTGTTTGATGAAAGGAGATATTTAGTGTTGGCTTCGTTCACCATCGGACGCATTTGTTTCGCTACCTTATCCATTCCGGGGAAAGCAGAACAATGACATTAACATCATCAGCATACGCCAGCAGCTGTACCCTCTTATAGAAGATGGTTTATTCTATATTTAGTTCTGCAGCTCAAATTATAATTTTTTTTTTTTCAGAAATAAGTTGACGAAATAACAGAAAAGAGAGTTTCCTTGTTTGAAACCTTGTTTGGTATCGATCGGCTCCGAAGGGTCCTTCCCGATCCTAACAGAGCTTGGTGTTGGTCAATTCAGTTTACATAGCCATTTTGCGGAGCTTTGCAGGGTTACCAAATTCAGACATCGCGGCATAAAGGCCGCTCCATTTCGTGCTGTCAAAGGCAGCTTTAAAATCGACGAAGAGGTGGTGAGTGTCGATTCTCTTTTTACGGATCTTTTCCAAGACTTAGCGCATGGTGAATATCTGATCAGTTGTTGATTTGCCAGGCCAAAAGCCATACCTATGAGGTCCAATCAGTTTGCTTATGGAGTGCTTTAATCTTTCACACAATACGCCCTATAAAACCTTTTATACGATGGATCGGAGGCTTATCCCACAGTAGTTGGAGAGTCCCTTTTTGTGGATTGGACAGAGCGCCCTTAAATTCCAATCGTTGCTTTTGTCCGACTAAATTCAAAAAAGAAGCTGACGCATCTTCCGTATCAGTTCTTCTTCGATATGTTTGAATAGCTCCGTTGGTGATCCATCGGCCCCCGCCGCTTCGTTGTTATATTATAGATAGGTCTGTAATTCGAACTTATTCATGGTTGTACAATGGAACGTCTGCTCCATCGTTATCTATTGAGTAATCGGGTTCACCTTCTCCCGGCATTATGCTCTCACTGGCATTCAGCATGCTGGAGAAGTGTTCCCTCATCGGTTACTAGATCACTTTCTTGGGCCCTAAAAGGGTAGGCTCCGGTCTTGAAACTTTCTCTTAGTCACCGCATATTTTTGTAGAATTTTCGAGCATTACCCCTGTCGGTCAGTGTGTCACGTTCTTCGTACTCACTCATTTCGGCCTCTCTCTTTTTCTGTCTGCAAATGCGTCTCGCTTTCCTCTTCAACTCTCGGTATCTATCCTATCCCGCACGTGTTATTGTCGATAGTAACATTGCGTCATGTGCAGAGTCATGGAAAGTTCTCTGATAGCCATTCACTTGGGAGTGGACCGAAACGATTCTTTTACATGTGACTAAAGCAGCTCACGACGCAGCGAAATATACCAAGCATAGGGTTGCGCGCTGGTTTGCGACCCGCCACGTAAAAAAACACCCCCAATGAAAAAATTGCAACAGCCTCGGATGAGAGACCCCCCCTTTTAATGACGACCATGGAAAATGAAATAAGAACTACGAATTGAAGGCGTGCACCTGGAATGTTCGGTTCCTTAATTGGGAAGGTGCCGCTGCCCAGCTGGTTGATGTCCTCGTGAAAATAAAGGCTGACATCACCGCCGTCCAAGAAATGCGATGGACGGGACAAGGACAGAGACGAGTAGGACCTTGTGGCATTTACTACAGTGGCCATATAAAGGAGCGCAAATTTGGTGTGGGATTCGTAGTAGGAGAGAGACTCCGTCGCCGAGTACTATCATTCACTCCGGTGAATGAACGTCTAGCCACAATCCGCATCAAAGCGAGGTTCTTCAACATATCACTGATTTGTGCCCACGCCCCGACGGAAGAGAAGGACCGTGTGACTAAAGATGAATTTTATGAGTGCTTGGAAAGCACTTATGAGAGCTGCCCACGCCACGATGTCAAAATCGTGCTTGGCGACTTTAACGTCAGGGTGGGCAAGGAAGGTATCTCTGGCACTATAGTCGGTAAATTTAGCCTCCACGAGGAAATATCCCCACATGGGTTGAGGCTTCGAAGGGGCCCGAAATATGATTATCAATAGTACTAGATTCCAGCATAGAAAGATACATCAAGCTACCTGGCTGTCTCCTGTTCGAAAAACCATCAACCAGATCGATCATGTTATGATGGACGGAAGACACGTCTCCAGTGTTTTATATGTGCGTGCGCTCCGAGGTCCTAACATCGACTCGGACCACTTTCCTGTCGCAGCCAAGACTCGCATCCGCCTCTGTGCAGCACAAAACGCACGTCAACAAACACAAGGAAGGTTCGACGT